GCTGGTGAGTGTGAAGCCCCTGTGCTCAGGGTGGACTCCTGGCCTGCGTGTGCTCTTCTCATCGCGTGCTTGTTACATGAACTCAACATCACTGCCCCTGATGGATCAACGGCAGGCAGACAGACCATGCCATATGTTTCTCCATGAGCCACCCTTCAGCAGCTGGATTTTGTTCTGCTGTGGTGTGCAGAGGTGCCTGGATGTTGATATTGTAGCTCCCTCTAGTGTCTCTGGAGTGCAGCCACTCAGTTTTTCTTCCATTGAAGAAAATGCAGACAAGCATAGAATTGGCCAAAATTGGCAGCATTTTAGGTGTGCTTTCCCATAATTTTCTCTTGTGGGTAGTGTGAACCTCTCCTGAAGATAGGCTAGCATCCTCGTCCTGCTTCTGCTGTGTTTTCATTTCAGAACTGGATAGTTCTTCCGAGGACTCTTTCCTGAGATGCCCCTATTCACCATCTGCCCTTTAGAAGGGAAGAATGTGAATTCTGCTCAAAAGAAATAAACGAAAACAAGAGACTGAAAGGTTTACTTTCACCCTCAGTAGAGAAAATACTGGGTGAAGAAATTTAAAAACAAACAAGCCACTGACAGTAAGAACTTTGGCCATTTATTCTGGAAAGAGTAGTTTGTTCTCCAAAATAACTTTTGAACTAGAAATTTATCATCTGAAGTCAGACCATTTTGAGGTATTTTATAATCTAAGGGAGTCAAGTTATTAATATTTGAAAAATGGCTACTATGTAGTACATAGAATAATATAAGATTCCTGCCTAAATTAACATCATTGCAGCCTGCATAATAAAGATTTATGAGCTACCTATCATGTGAAATCCTATTATGGAAATCTCCATAAGTCCATGTTTGGATTGTAACTGGCTTCATGGTTATAAAGCAATTAAAAATCCAGTACCTTTCCTCTCTTTTACGCTCCATTCTTCTCTCATTTTCATTTGCCCTTAAACTAGATTGACCCATTATTCCCCAGCCTGTCTGTGTGAACGCACAGATAAGGAAGTGCTGCTGCTCGGGTTACTCTCTGGGCAGGCCATTTTCCTCCCAAACACCCAAAGTAGTGGAACAATTTATCATCGCTTCTTTGTAAGTCACTCTGATCCTTTATCTCAGGTTGATCTGTGAAGCTAAACATAAATTCTAGTTGTAGAATCCATGTTCTTATCTACTTCCAAAACTTCGGAAGACTTTATAAAAACATGTCTGACTACCTCTGTATATGCATGCAGAGAAAATTAGAATACCACAGTTATGCTATCTCCTCTACTTCTGATGTTGAACCACCAGATGATGAGGGTGTTTTTTTCCATGTAACTTGACATAGAAAAAAGTAAAATCTTGGTTGAACCATTTTCTCTTAGAAGTAGGTTGGCTTCCTAAGACTAGAACATAATGCTTGGCATAAATGGTGGTGACCTTAGCTGATAGCTATACTTGGGAACCTAAGGAGGAAGGATTACTTCAAGTTTGAGACTAGCCTGGGCTCCATAGTGAGTCCTGGCCATCTCAAGAGAGAGAAGAGAGAGAGAGAGAGAGAGAGAGAGAGAGAGAGAGAGAGAGAGAGAGAGAGAGAGAGAGAGAGAGAGAGAGAGAGTGACAGTCACTTATTAGTTCTCCATCAAACTAGCAGTGGCAGGTAGCTCTCGGGACTTACAGGAAGGAAGGGGTGGGGCACATAGAGAGGGAAGGCATGAATACTCTCACACATCAGACAAACAGTATTTTTTTTTGCTTTGTTCTCTTTGAAAAAATATAAAGATTCTGTAAGATTGAATCCTTTTTAACATTTCCAAGTGGTCTGATTGGTTAGCAACATTGCATTTGTGTATGTTGGACATGTGTAGATTATTTCCTTGATATACTTGATTCCCTTTAATCTTTCCTACTACCTGTGAGGTAAGGTTTCCATAGTCTTTGTGGTGTTTGCTTTGTTAGGCAAGCTGAGACGCAGAGGAATTAAATGACCATGCCCAAGGATACTCAACTATTGGCAAGGCTAAATCCCAGGCCTAAGTCCTTGGGAGTGTCCTTTCTATAAAATAACAGCTGAGTTTAATTTTCAGTCTCATTCAACCCAGCTCAATGATATTTGATAGACTTTTCAAAGACTGAGGGGTTGGGACCCTGGAACCTCCATTTTAGCAGGCAATATGATACTGAGCAAGTTATAAACTGCCAATGAGTTAATGGTACCATGTGCCAGATCTAACCCCCCATACAACTAAATTATGACTAGTATAGGATTTTAAATACCTGGTGACACATAAACATGAAGTATTGCCATCGATGCATTATAGAAGGAATTCATGTGATTGATGAGCATATAGGATATATTGCACTGCATGTGCTAGAGACTTTGAGAGCTTTCCAAAAATAATGTTTTCTGAAAGATATATGTTTGAACTTGAACTCTGCCTAAGGACATCTATTTCAAGACCAAAAGTTTGCTTTAAAAATAAATATAAAGCATTTTTCAAACTGATTAGGTAAGTATGTGGCAGAAGACTTGAAAGACCTTGGTTTTTGTATCTCAGTAGATCTATATGGGCTTATTTCCATGGCATGGACCAGTGATATCAAGTCTCTAATTGTAATAAGCATAGGCAATGAGAAAGAGATGCTGTTTTCTCCGGAGACTGTCTTGCTCTTTTTTCTTTTATTTTTAATATCTATATGAATAGAAATCAGTGCGTGCTGCTTCTCCAAACAGGGCATCCATCTTAATCTCCTAAGAGAGTTGCAGTTTGCTTTTTAAGTAAAATGGATAAAATATGTTTTTTTAAACTTGCTTTTTTCCATATCACTGTACCAAATTGACAGTAACCATACAAGAGCACATACTACTGGGAGCCTATGATCTCTGAGGTGTGTGGTATAGGCAGTTGTGGTCTGTGAACTGGCTGGTAGACTGCGTCTCCACTGTCGACCTCTGCAAACCCATTGGGGTTAGTTCATTTGTTTATTGCTCTTATAGTCCTTTGAGATCAGAGCTTCCTTCTTGAGTAATGCCTACTTCATAGAACTCCTTCAGAAAGGTCTTACTGCCTGGTGTTGGTATACAATCAGGCCAGTTAGAAGAAAGCATTTTTAGTGGAGCTGGTCAAGCACAACACCCTGAATTCAATCCCAGGTATTATGGAGTGGGGTAAGGGTGGTAAATGAGGAAGAGTCAGGCTAGAAATATCTACAGGAAGTAAGTGAAAGTTGATTTTGCTGTTTGTTGTTGTCTCCTGACTAGGTGGATGGTAGAGAGGAACAAGTTTTGACATTGCAACACACTCAGCTCTGCACACCGCTAACAGTATCTGGACTCATCCTTTCTGTTTCAGAAAAACATAAACTGGACTTGCAGTTTTTGGTGACAAAAACATTCAAAGTCCTTCCTTCTGGCTTTTCTGAAATTAAATTGTGTATTATCTATAATCACCATACTCTACAAAACATCTGAATTCCTGCCTCCAACCTGTTTGTATCTGTTGCCAGCCTTCCTCACTCCTCTTCCCAGCCTCTGGTAGCCACTGTTTCACTCCCGGCTTCTGAGACCATTCTTTAGGGCCCATAGCTGAACGAACTCATACTGAGGTTTCCATGAGCCTGGCTTGTCTTACTTAGCAAATGACCTCTACTTCCATCTGTGTTATCACAAATGACAGGATGTCATTATTCTTATGTATATTTGCCATATTGTATTTATCCAGTCAGCAATGAACATAATTTCCATTTCTCTCCTATCAATAGTGAACATTGGGATGCAGCTGTTCCTTCAACAGTACTATCTCCATTTCCTGTGGTTATTCAGTGAGCTTGCTAGGTCAGATGGTAGCTCTGATTTTCATTATTTGAGAATGTCTGTTGTTTTCCATAAGCCTGTGCTCCTCTATATGCCCACCAACTGTGCGCATGAGGTTCCTTTTCTGCATGCTCTCACCAACAGTTTTCTTTTTGTAACAGCCCTTTTTTTTCTATGATTTATTTTTGCTACTGTTTAATTACATATATGTGAGGGGTGAAGTGTGTACATGTAGCATCTGATCATCCTGGAGCTGAAGTGACAAGTGGCTGTGATCTTCATGGTGTGGGTGCTGGGAACAGAACTCAGGTCCTCTGCAAGAGCAGTTAGTTCCTAACTGGTGAGCCGTCTCTCCAGCCCCAGTAACAGCCATTGTATTATAAGGTAATATGGTTTTGATTTGCCTTTCCTTGTAGGTGTGTGTGTGTGTGTGTGTGTGTGTGTGTGTGTGTGTGTGTGTGTGTGTGTCCATCCCATTGTATGTCTTATGCTAATTATTTTTAATTGGGTTACTTGAGTTTTAGTTATTTTTGTCATTGTTAGGGTTTATTTTGGTTGGTTGGTTAGTTGCTATTATTTTTTATTTTGAATTTCTTATATAATCTGAATATAGGCCTCTTATCAGATGTGTAATTTCAAATATATCACCCATTGTTATCTCTTCAGTCTGTTGATGTGTACTCTGTTGTACAGGAGATTTTTAGTTTGATGTAATCTCATTTGTCTGTTTATGCTCTTGTTACCGATCCCTTTGGAGTCTTGTACACAATTTTTTTTTTCCATTCCAACATCCTAAAGCCTTTTCCCTGCTTTCTTCTCCTGGTTCTATAGCCTCAGGTCTTGAGGTCAAGTCTTAATTCATCTTGAGTTGTTTTGTAACTGGTGAGAACGTAGATGTCAGGTTTCATCCTTGTGCGTGTGTGCATGCAGTTTCCCAGCACCATGGTTGAAACCCTTGGCCACTTGGAAGGGCTCATGTGTACACGTGAAACTCTGAGCATACCCTTGAATGTAGGGCCCATGGGAAATGGTTGCTACCAGCAGTGGCACTCAGCATAGGTCTAGCTGCCAAAACCCTGAAGACTTCACTATGTGACTGTTTATTCCTAATGAGCCACCCTCCAATGAGCCATCCTCAGCATGCCCTGAGTCTGTTATGGAAGGGAGTTGAGTCGTGTTTCTTGCTCTCTTTCAGATCTGTAAGAGCAGAGCTCAGGAGTCTCAGCAGTATTACCACAGCTTGGCTGTCCGGCAGAGTCTGGCTGTGCATTTTAATATCCAGCAGGATTGTGGCCATTTCCTTGCTGAAGTCCCTAATCGTCTGCTTCCCTGGGCGGATCCTGATGCTCCTGAAAAGGCAGAGGACGAAACTGAAAACAGTGGGGAAGAGGTGAAAGCAGAAACTGCCGGGGGAAATCCCCAGCCCTGCTCTGAACCAGAGTCATCCCAGACGGAGAACCAACAGGTCACGAACAGGAGGCAGAGAAGCCACGTTGTAGTCATCACCAGAGAGGTTCCCCATCTCACTGTGGCTGACTTTGTGCGAGATTCCTTGGCCCATCATGGGAAGAGCCCTGACTTGTATGAGAGGCAAGTGTGTCTGCTGCTCTTACAGCTATGCTCTGGCCTTGAGCATCTCAAGCCCTACCATGTCACGCACTGCGATCTGCGCCTGGAGAACTTGTTGCTTGTCCAGCACCAGCCTGCAGGAGCTGCCCATGGCCCTTCACCTACAGACCCCTGCCCCACCTCAGCTTGTCCCACAAGGCTCATTGTGAGCAACTTCTCTCAGGCCAAGCAGAAGAGCCATCTGGTGGATCCCCAGATCCTCCGGGACCAGTCCCGCCTTGCCCCAGAGATTATCACAGCCACCCAATATAAAAAGTGTGATGAATTCCAGACAGGCATCCTCATCTATGAGATGCTGCACCTGCCCAACCCTTTCGATGAGAACCCAGAGCTGAAGGAGAAGGAGTACACACGCACAGATCTGCCTCGAATCCCTCTCCGCTCCCCATACTCTTGGGGCCTGCAGCAGCTTGCTAGCTGCCTCCTAAATCCCAACCCTTCCGAGCGCATCCTCATTTCTGACGCCAAAGGCATCCTCCAGTGTCTGCTCTGGGGCCCCCGTGAAGATCTCTTCCAAACCTTCACCACCTCTACAACCCTGGTACAGAAGAACGCCTTGCTCCAAAACTGGTTGGATATCAAGCGCACACTGCTGATGATCAAGTTTGCTGAGAAGTCCCTGGACAGAGAGGGGGGAATCAGCCTCGAGGATTGGCTTTGTGCTCAATATCTGGCTTTTGCCACTACAGACTCCCTGAGTTATATTGTAAAAATCCTGCAACACCGTTAATGTGGCCTGGACATTGTTCTTATTCTTAAATATTCCCACCTTCTTCATGTTGCCCTCATATCCCTGTCCTAGTACTCACTCAGAATGCAAGGAAAGGAGAGAAGCTAACTTGCCATCCTTGTCCTCAAGCAGAGGGGGCCATTCAGCAAGGTCATCCACAGCTTTTGCACAGTGAGGAGCTGAATATCTCCTTACTGTACAGAAATTCAGCTGCACAGCCGTGCAGTCACCTTCCCTTGGAACATTTGTCATGTGAATGGCCCCACAAATCCGGGGTCATAAATGAAATGCACATTCAGGAAGGACCAGCTCCAGTGGATTGAACTTAGTAAGCTGTGTCCACCTCTTCCATAACTCTGACGCTTGCCTCTAACTAGCTAGCAGTGCACGTCTCCAACATCCACTGTCATCCAGTCATGCTTGCACAGCAGCTTCCTCTTCCTTAGAGTATCAATGACCGCCTCTTTCCCGGGAGGACATGCCATGTTGCTTCTCAGCTCAGTTTTGGTCACTGGCGACAAGCCTTTGTTCTGGTGTAAAGTGAAAGGGAGGGGAGGAGAGATTCCTGTCTGTTGGATCATGGGTCATGCATTTCCATTTTTGTTCTCAGTAAAAAAAAAATGTACCCTGCACAGAGAGCAACCTGACAGCCGTAACCCCACTGCCACTGCTTGGCTGTCCTCCGCCTTTACTCTGTCCCGGCCTGCTGACGTTTGGGTGGATTTATCACCTGCTGTTGTGGCCCATTCCAGAGCTGACCAAAGGTGGTGTCACCGGTGCCTCAGCAGGATGGAATGCAGTTCAGAGTTCATGAATAGTTGAAAGGACATGAGGAAATAATGTCTGTGTGTGCAATTCTCCAGGGGCCCTCAGGGAACAGACTTTAAAGGTACTGCTCTTTGACCATTGTCAGACCGATCAGCAGGGCGGCCAGGGCTGGTGGTGCCTGAGTCAGTTTCCCCCACAAGCAGTAACTGGCCACCTCCCTTCCATCAGTAGCCAGTATTAACTACCCTGCCAAAGGCTGTAGACAATATCTCTGAATGAAATGGCTGTTCACTTCGCATTAACATGGCCTTAGAAAGCACCCCAAAGCTGGCTAGTGGAATGGCCAGAAGATAAGGGAGGAGGGGGAGGCCACTAGGATGGCTGACCTGCTCCTAAGAATGCCAGTCTCTTCCAGAAAGTGGCGCATTGCTCCTGAGACTTTGCAGTGGCCCTGGAGCTCAGCTCACAGGAAGGCTGACGGCTGCAGTGGATGGCTGAGAGCTGTTCCGTGGGACCTGTGCTCTCCCATGAATTATGTGCAATTTTTGTATGTATTTTTAATCTGTATATTACAGTGTTTATGTTGCAACTTTACCCAAGTGAGAACTACGGAAACCTTCCTTCCCATGGCACATACTTGCGCTAAGAAGCAAGTGTTCCTTCCACCTGTGTGTGTTTATATGTTCATGCACTTGTTTTATTCAAAACTGTGAGTATCTGTTTACTTCAACCTTGAAATCCCAAGAGTCACTTGAATGGTAAGTTTGTACATATGTGTGCCTGTGTGCACGCACATGCTGGAGATAGGGGCCAGGCCTCCAGGGAAGCAAGCTGTAGCGGGGTTGACAGTACCCTGCCGGTTAGGAACCCGGGGGAGCCCTCATCCACCAGTGCAGTTGTCTTAAAGCCAAGACTGATTGTGCAGTATTACTTGGGTGGCACCTTAGTGGCCTTGGAAATTTCTAGACTTAACATTTTTAGCAGCAGCCTTTCATGTGATTCACCCTTATCAAAGAGGATCGAAAAAGGTGAATGTATTTTATTATGCATTTTAAAGAGAATGATATGCGTGAGGCTGCATATGGAGGATGGCACTGTGTCCCTGGCTAGCACTCCAACTCCCAGGAAAAAGAGCTAGTCGGCTCACAGAGAGTCTTGTCTCTTCAGGATAGCATGACCATGGGTGGGCAGCCATGAATCACGGCTGCATCATGCCTGGCAGGCTGGGGTTTGATTCATCTTACATAGCCCATGTGCACATAACTCCCTGCCTAATATGCACTGAACTGGCAGCATGCAGACCACGGACCACAGCCCTTCACTTCCCACAGTGTTTGCAAATTGAGACATACCTTCTCAATGTCACTCTCATGGTGCCTTCCCATGTAAATCTGAATGTTGACTATTTAATGAGGTTACATATTTAATGCAGAATGTGCCCTAGTCCCTCTGTTCGTTCTGTCTGTAGATTTTTTTCTGTTATCTGGGATGCAGCGGTAGAACAGGCATGCGCCCTTCGCTGCCACTGTCTCACCGTACTGGTAAACTGAGCGCTCTTCATTCCATGTGTCTCTTACTGTCCTATGTCCACACCAGTGAAGGGCAAAAACGAAAGCCAGCTGACAAGAGAAGAGCCTCGGGCTTTCCCGAGACAGTGGCTGTGAGACTTGTCTCTGGGGGATGGCCACAGAATGTGAGGGGAAGGGAAGAGCGTGTCCTAGGGTAGGTCAGCCCAGAGACAAGAACTGTATTTCTAGGCAGGATGTCCATCGGGTGGTCCTCTGAGAATTCCTCAAAATAATGAAATTCAGTCAATATAACTTTATCATAGATACTTTATATTCCCATTTTAATTCATTCATTTAGAAGGAAATTCTACCCTCTGCAGACACATACACACATTTTATATATACATATATTATGAGTTTTGGAGTGTCACTAGTGTAGTACTTAAGGTTTTCACAAGTACCATCTGTACTGACCAGATATTTTTCTTTTCTATTAAAGTCTGTGCCATAGATTCTTCCATTATGTTGAGAGTTTGAACAACTGAGCCCCTGTTGGGACTTTTCCTTTAGCCACATGAGCAATCTCAGCACATGTGAGTGCTAGAGAGACAGGACTGTGGCTGGAGCAGGCCAGAGTAGATGTCTCTCAGAGTGCCTTGTTAGCATAGTAACCTAGCCACTGGAAGAAGAATCATTTCCTGGAGAGGCCTAGGCTACCAGCAGCCTCCTGTGCCACAGAGGAGAGCCCTTTGGGGATGTGTACACCCACATAGTTGCAAAAGATCACCATAAAAGACAGCAGTTAGATGAGCAACAAAACCTGTGGGAAAACATCATGAAAATCACCAACCCCAAGGCTGAGTTAGATTGGAAGGCAGACCGGTGGCAGTGGGATTTGTTCTCAAGAGATGGGCTGGATGAGTCATTGGAGAATGTGCACTCATACTCCCAAACTGCTGGTGCCGAGGGCCGAGAAGTATATCACTCAAAAACTGGTCAGAGCAGCCTCTCATCATAAGAGGAGCCAGTTCTGCCTCCGAGCTCAGGGTGTCCTCATGAACATGGAAATCCAAACCTCTAGGAAGATGGATGCTCCTAAAAGTAAAATCCTGCTATCGCAAAGTCCCATGAATGATCTTGAAGCCCACTAAGCAGTAGGTCGTGGAAGGAAGGCTTACACCCAGCTTTCCAAGTTTAATTTATCTAGTACTGGAAAATCACCAGACATTAGCTGGTGACCTGCAGTCAGGATTTTCCCATAGCTTTTACCCAGAGTGATCTGGAAAGATACAGGCTAGTCTCAAAAGCTGGGATGGATTTTGGAGGCTTCATTATATTTGAAGTAATTCTGGATATATAAAGCGTATACACACTTGGAAACAGAACAAGAGGAATTCAGCTCCCTGGGCCAGCTCTGGCATGCTTATTCCCCTCGATAGCGGGTAAGGATTGAGATTCTGATCCAGCCTAATAAGTAAATAGGATGGCTGCCTATAAAACTGGGTTGTTAGATTTACCTCATTGAAGCTCATATTCTCAAAGGCCCAAAGTGCTGCGCTGAGAAACCCAAGTACTACCCCTGCTGAAGTGTGCACTGAGGTCCATCTGCCAACACCCAACAGCAGTGCACAGGTGGGACACCGTGGACCAAAACCAGTGCCCCGAGGGAAGGCCGAAGAGCCATAACTCGAGATCCCAGACAGGTTATACCAAAGAAGCCAAGCCTTTTCACCCTGCTTCTTGGGGCAGAGCTCTGGCAGATGCCATAGGAAGGGAGTTTCGTGTTCAGGGTATTCAACTGGTAAATCCATTCTCAAAAAACAAAACACAACAAAAAAGGTTGTGTTATTTCAGGCAGTCCGTTTGGTACATCAGGAAAAAGAAGGTGACAATGGCGTGGGAGCAAAGGAGTGGCAGCAGCTGGAGCAGAGAGAAGCTCTCTGGTCTCTAAGGAGGAACTCTTAACTAACTTGCTCACCATGACTGGCTGTTGCCCAGACTGTAAGCACGGGGACACCATGACTGTAATATTGAAAACTAGGGCTTGAGGTGATTTTTTTTCTTAATAAGAAGGTGCTTTCAAAGGAACTCTTGGGAGATTTCTTAACACACTGTACCATCCTATAACCCTTCCTACGAAGGCAGTCGTCATCAGCATCACTGTCACCTAATGTGTACAAGTACCCAGACTGTCCAAGGTGCTACACAGCTGTCAAACACCTACCCCTGCAGCTGTTTTAAATCAGAGGCCTCTGCATCAGCTGCCGCTGGAAATTGTGCCCACTTAGATGGGCCACAGGGGTGTGCATTCTGAACATCTTATATACATTCCCTCTTCAAGAGCCTCTACATCTGTCCCCACCCCCCACCCCCACCCCCATGGTTTTCTTTACATCAGGAAAGTTTCAGGGAATCAATAGAGGTTGGGGTTTTTTTTAACCCAGCAGAATCGCAGAGTTATATATTTTGCTATGAACATTGTTGTGGTACAGAAAATCCACTTTGCCTGTTGGTTTGTGGCTAGTATGTGTGTCTGCACTCTTGGTAACTCACATGTTGAGCCTGTGGCTTCAGTGTAGTGTTGTTGAAAGGTTAACCACACAGCTTTAGGAAGCCCATTCAAATTGTTCCTTTCTTCCTCCCGCTCCCTCAACAATTCTAGAGAGTTGTGTGTGAACACACTGGGCTGGGTTTTCTGTTCGTTATCTGGAGGGTGTTTTGTTGGGAGACAGACACAGAAGCAAGATGTCCCCTGTCTCAGTGATTGGATCATGGCAGTCTTTACCTCTCTAATTCTCCATGACACTGCCCACACTCTGTATTGGAAAATCTTGTTTCTCTTCCTCCAGCGTTTTACCCCCATGCTTACACATTTTACAGTTGTATAAACAATAACAGGTCCCCTGTGTCACCAGTGGCACCGCCCTTTGGTTCGCTGTGGTACTTTGCTGTGTACTCTGTGGCCTCACGTTACTGTGTAAATAAATTCAGTTTAATATACACTAAAAAAAAAACCAGACTTCAAGTATATATCATTCCAGTGACTTGTCCTTGGTGATATGCTGGTGTGGGTGCCTGCAGATATGGTTCTCTTGCTCATTCCCAAGATGGCTGCCTGTCCTTAAAACAGGCAAGGATAGATAGCCTTTAGCCAACATGCCCTCTGCCTGGACTCCATCTCTTACTGACACTTTTTTTTCTTCAGTGCCTCTAATTTGAGAAAGGAGAGCAAGTGGAGAAGGCTGTCCATTTGCTGAGTGAGATCGCCCCCTGGTGTCCGTTCACTAGAGGCTGCCTGGTCAGAGAGGCTTGGCCGGCAGCAAGCCGACTTGGCTGACTCCAGTAAGGACAGAGCTGTGCAGGGACAAGCCTATAGTCTACAGAATTCACATACCCGAAGCCTGTTCCTTAAAGCACACTGTCACACGAGACATCCTTACAAAGACAGACAAGCTAATAGGCATACTGGTCACAGAGGAGGCCACCTGATTTCAGAAAAAGACAGCAATCAGCAATGGCCGTGTCAGCTGCCCCATTATTGAAGTAGCGTAGCTGAAAGTACAAATGTGCAGACTTTGAACCACTCTTAAGCTCTAACTCCCACCACCGCTGCCATGGTGGATGGTCTGCACAAAATGTCTACGCTTATCTCCACTTGCTAGAATTTGCTAACATTCTTAAGGCTTAACCCAGAAAGGTAGATGCCAGGCTTGGGTTTTACGTTGCTGAGGAACACACTCCATATGAATGTGACCTAGAGATCCCAGAGAATGCTGTGTAAGGATTGGGTGGCTACCTAACACCAGTGCTGCTGCCACCCTGGAGACCTAAAAGGGATATGGGACCTGGAGGTGGTACGCCAGTTCACATTGGCTTAACCTGAATCCAAGGAGACAGGGTGCCTGGAGGAGGTGGGCCATTTAACACTTGTCATCAGCATTCCTGCAGAGTCTCTTTCCAACCCGTGCTACAGGGAAGCTGACTTCTGTCCTACGTGGAGCACACAGGGCCCTGCAGCTTGGAGGAGCCCACCAGCATGCCCTCCACTCTGCTGCCTGCTCTCTCCAGCCCAGCCATGAGGCTTCCTTCGAAGTAAGCCTGCACTCCACGAGGAGAGGGGTTTCATTAGCGCCTTAGGAGCCAGGAGCAGCAGTTGGTAGATCACAAGTTGTCATTAAAAGCAGCTCAAGGCAATTACAGCTAAAACTTAAAAATTGGATTTCGCACTGGGCGGGGGCCTGGAGAGGGGCCTGATTGCTAAGCTCCAACTCAAATGTGCAAAACTCTTTAAGAGGAAACAGGTTGTCTGAGCATGCCAGGGCTTCTTAGAACACCAGATTACCCTCTGCTATGTGCACACACCGTCCAATAATCAATGGCTCCTTTGTCCTCTGGAAGGTATGTGGAAGCTGCTGGAAAGCATAGTGGCCATACCCAGGGGGTATGGCTCAACAGTTAAGAATGTTCTTAGGGGTGGGGCATGCCTTTAGTTCCAGCACTTGGGAGGCAGAGGCAGGTGATCTCTGTGAGTTTGAGGCCAGCCTGGTCTACAGAGTGAGTTCCAGAACAGGCTCCAAAGCTACAGAGAAACCCAGTCTCAGAAGAAAAAAAAAATGTTCTCCAGCTAATATTGTTCTTGCAGAGGACCAGAGTTCAGTTCCCAGCACCCATCATTGGTTCACAACGGCCTATAACTCCATCTCCAGGAACACCCACACACAGACACATAGAACACATAATTTAAAAATAATGAAAGTTTCAAGATTACGAAATTAGAACAATAAAAATTAAATTCATTTAAAACAATGAGCAAGACTGGGTGGAGGGCGGGGTCCTCTGGCAAATCTATAAGCAAAGTGATTAGGAACCTCTAGAGAAGTAATTTGCCTGCTGGGAGGGGAGCACAAGAACCTGTGGTCCCCACCAGCACCCACTGCTCACCCATCAGTGCTTGAGCCAGAGTCAAAGGGGGCGGGCAAAACACATTCAGGCAAGGCTAGAGAGATGGTTCAGCAGTTAAGAGCATTTACTGCTGTTGAAGAGGAACCAAACTTGGTTCCTGGTACCCATGTCAAATGGTTCACAGCCATCTGTACCTCCAGCTCCAGGAGATCCAAGACCTCTAGCCTTCTCAGCACCTGTCCTCATGCATAGACACACACACACACACACACACACCCTCTGTAGCATTCCACTTACAGAAAAGTAATATTTCTATGGCCAGGACTCTGCAGTGTGCTTTGCTTGCTGACAGTGTGCCGGGCTTCCTGAATGGCAGCTTTCTCACTACAAATAGTAATAGGTATAACTTGGGAATTTTATTAACATTTCTGCTCTGGGCACCCAGTCACAGACTGACTGATGGCTGAAGAGTTAAATACGAATGGCTGAAAGACTAGCTCAGGGGTACAACATTTACCTACCATGTTCAAGGTCCTGCATTTGATTCCTAACACCATTTAAAAAAATGAAATTCAAAAGTTGCACATGAAGAAATAAAATAAGAGAAACCAGAAAGCTTCTCAGAGCTGTACCACGAGAGTGACAGAGATGAACTATTGCATTATCTTCTCAGATATCTTAATGAAATTTGGATTTAGAATATCAGTAGTTTTTTTGCTAGGGGAAGAAACTACAAAATGCTTCTACAAATCACTTGGAAGGATGAGTAGAGGAATCATAGAAATTGTTGAATTTAAGAGACTCAAGAAGCTTTGAAAAAGTTTGATGAATAAAATCCTGTGATAAAAGTATCTTATTTCTGGTCACTATAGCTGTGATGAAACACCGTGACCAAAGCAGCTTGGGAGGAAAGGGTTAATTCTCTCACAGTTCTACAGAAAGCAGTGGGGGCAGGGACTCAAGCAGGACAGGGACCTGGAAGCTGACCAGGAGACAGTAGAGAAGAACCACTTACTGGCTCTCTCAGCCTGCTTTCTTACAGAACCCAGGACCACCTGCCCAGGGGTGGCCCCGACCAGAATGTTCTAGGCCCTCCCATATCACAATTAAGAAAATGCCCTACCAGCTTGCCTGTAGCCCAATATTATGAAGGCATTTTCTCAGTTGGGGTTCCCTCCTCTCAGATGACTCTAACTTGTGTCAAGTTGACATAAAACTAGCCAGCACATAGAGTTAACTGTTGTGCCCAAATTCTGAACCCCAAAATCACCAAGAGGCCTATTTCGATGCAAAAGCAAAGAGTTTTATTGTAGATGTTTAATGAGCTAACCCCATTAGCTCAGGCCCTTCACCCCACCACCATGGCAGATGGCTGGAGAAAGACCCCAAGCTACCTGGAAGCAGGGATCTTAAAGGACAGTGTAAGGGGAGTGTCTAGGGGTATGAAACAGTCTCAGGATTGGTGCGCTTCCAGGTTTGGGCGACCTGCCCTGTGTTGATTGGTCAACTAATTGTTATGGCCCCTAGGCCCTCCCAGGTCGGTTGCTATGTTCTGCAGGTCACTGTTATGCACTTGTCCATAAAGCACACCCAGAGCTGTAAAGCATAGCCCCACCAGCTAACCTCTGATTGGTTCATTGCCACGAGGAGGGCATCTGACCTTAGTGACCAGGACAAGAGCGGCAAGGTCATGCAAGCACATGTTAGCCTGTAATGGCTGCTAAAACGGGGAGGTTGGCCACTACATTACAAGGACAAGCAGATCAACATAACAGAATAGGTAACCTAGAGGAAAGGATCAGGAAAAGTGGAATGTAGAGTAAGACATTGTAATAGGAAAGAAAGTCTCCATATGCTGTTCACAGCTGTGTAGTTGTGTATGTATTCTGCCTGCCGTAGACCAATACAAACCCAAATAGATCAAACAGAATTACACGCCACTGAGGGAAGAAAAGAAGAAAGGGTCCCTAAGAACTAGAAAGAAGGCTAAGTCAATATGTGTTTTATCTTGTGTCAAAAAAAAAAAAAAAAAGGATTTTCCAAGCTAAAAAGCAATGGGAGGCATCTGAGAGGAGACGATCAATAGGTCTGACTGAAGATGACAAACCTTTGCCCACTGAAAACATTAGAAAGTAAATTGAAATGTAAACAACCAGGAAAGATATTTGAACAAATGCAACAGTCATGGGTTAAAACTCTCAGTTATGAAGAGCTCATGTAAATTCTTAGGAACATAAGATACCAGGAGGCAGAGCAGACAAGCCGGGAAAGCCTGACAGTTTAACCTTGCTGGAAATGAGAGAAATGAAAAATTAAGATGGTGTACCCTGACAGCATTTGAGTAGCTGGCAGTCATAAATACCAGCTCTGCTAGACCTCCGGGAGAATAGAGCTGACTGTTAGGTCCTAGTTCAGGAATGACCATCCACTGATGCACTGTCCACCCTGCCCATGTCCCAGACTGACTCTTTTTTTTTTTTTTAATGACAGTCATATTGCTAGCATCCCGTCATCTGTCAAATGGACAAAGCTCACTTTGGGCTGGTACTCACCACTGGTGACAGTGTACATGTTAAGTTTGTGGCAGGGCAATTAAACTGAATGGAGGGGCCTAATTCAGCTTCTGATGCTGACCCCAGGAGACAGCATGAGACAAAGTCTTCACATCTTTCAGATAAAAGCACCAAAGCCCCACACATCACTCAGAAAGGGGGCCCCTGGTGGCTTTAGTCAAGTGATTACAGAAACCTCTCATCCCTGTTCCTAGGAGCTTTTCTGTGGTGGAAGACGAGCTTCCTGAGCAGCTATGATCGCCCAATTCAGACCCAAAGTTGGACCCCACTAACCCTGTGTCCCCAAGCCTCCCTTGAATGGGGCTTCCTTGCCCACGGGGTTTCCTAGCCCACAGGGTTTTCTAGCCCACGGGGTTTCATCGGGATAAAGGAACAGGGTCCAATAAGGTTTAGTGCTGGGCAAAGGTAAGTGTTGAAATACATAAGCTCAGCAGGACAAAGCAAGTGGGTTTTGCTTTCTGTTTTTATGACCAAGGAGGGATTTTTGGAACAAAGGCAGTGTGAACTCAAATCTCTACCTCATGGGAGTCAGAGAACTG